CAACATGAGACGTCCAATTCGCATCACAGAAAGGCTCCAAGAAGGTCAGGTAGTTCCCCAGTGCCTGCGAGACATCAAATACACCTCCCACAGGCTTCGGAAGACCGATGGGAAAACCATTACGAGATTCCTGACACATGGAAACCCAACCAGGACTTTTTGGACACCAACTTAGTCTATGGCCTAGCACTCCCTCGTCAGGTCATCTCAACGTCTGTCAGTAGAAACCTTGGCATCGACAATGTACCTATTCATGAGGTGAAGCTTATCCCTATCATCCACAACATGTCTCAGAATTGGTGCCTACGTCTGTTGGCAAATGGCAAAGCCACATTCCTTGAGTTGTTTCGTTCCCGTCAAGAATGCTACTTTACATCAGCCCTTATGAAAATTCTTCGTGAGCAGCAAGTTGATTTCAATCAACTACTGTCAGGTGCTGCGGCCAAACAGAGTTTGTCCACAGATTTAACACAGTGGAGTGCCAGAAAAGCAGCCCTAGAAGCATTGGCCGATTTCACCATGGAACAGTTCCGCACCATTCTCCCACAGGACCCTTCCAATCAGTTGATGGAACGATTACGTAGAATGGAAGAGGAGAATGCCAGACTTCGTATGCAAGTAGGTCAAGGTGCTGCTGACAATTCGCATCAATCCCAAGCAGAGCCCGCAGTACCAGGGATAGCACCAAGCAGGAACATGCCATCCCATTCACCTCCCCACACCCTCCAGGCTCTTCCCACGCCTGCTGGCCCCAGCACCTCACCCCCAGGTACTGCAGACAGCACACGACAACCAGGGCAACAGACATTGCCATTCAGCGGACAAGGAAACGCAACAACTCAGGCACTGAGCAAGCTGACAGAACTGGCAGTACGAGACCGCCCAAACCATTTAGAATCCACAGGTCCCAAAAACCATACTGTGCAGTGTATCAATTCTTGGATGAAGTCGCAGGTTCCAGATACGAAGCAGCATGCTGAGATTGATCGACGTGCCAGGGAGTTTAAGGAAATGTACGAGAAACTCGATGCTGGCCAAGCACCGTCTCTACAGCGGATGTTGGTGAGTTGGGGCATGGAGCCCAGTGATGCAACCAAATTCAAGCCAGGGGAGGCTCTCAAGCTCCTCACGATTTTGAACCATTTGCACCGCTGACTTTGTCCGCATTTTGCGGATGCATGCATGACCAGTTTTGACTTACAATTCATGGGATCAACGAAGTTTGTCCTAGATGCAATAATTCACAAGTTTTTCCGGTGGATACAACCAGTCCGGAAGACCTTTTTTGAACAATTCAACTATTTCTCCATGCGGAGATACCTCTGGTTGGAAACGATGCTTTTCACCAGGTTCGTTCTGTTGAAGAACATGTGCAGCACCACGACGAAAACATGGATCAAATTAGCACGGTTTCTCAAATCACAAGAGATCACAGGAAATTCTACGTTTGAGCAATTCCACTCGCCAGGATGGGTGTATTTAGAAACTTCTTGCGTCCAAGAGCACGCTACCTGGTGGTACGTGGGCAGTACAACAAATACACCTATGGATAGGGAATATAGTCGCTATCGAAAGTATGAGCAACTGCGTAAAGGAGTTGACGCCTTCTTTGAACCAGCACTGAAGATTTGGCAGAGCACCCAAACATTTTTTCATTTCATCATAATTCCATTGCAGCAAATTGACGATGAAATTGCATTGCGAGCAGCAGAAACGACATTAATCGGTCAGCTCAGGCCTATGTTGAACCACCTATTTGTCAATCCATTATTGAAGAAACACGGCGCTGCTGCCCCTTTGAATTTTTCTATGCCTTGTGAAACAGCCGGCAAGCGTGTACACGATCGTTTCTCTTTCCTTGCTAACTGTGCCCTGGACGAATCTGCCATGAGTCGCATGTGGAAGCAGCCTACACACTTGTTCGAGCTGTTGTACTGGCTAGGATGCACAACTCGACGAAAGTTCCATGCAGCACAAGTTCTACGGAGTTCGCAGGTAAACCTTGAGTTTCTGTACATGCTTTACAAACTTGTACACCAGATAGATGAACCCTGGCGCACGCGTGCGCAACGATCGCTAAAAACTGCCTTGAGTTCAAAGGTGGGCATGCCCCCCCCGCGAATGTGCCAATGTTGCTGTTGCCCCTGCAGTGCGATGTGAAAGACCTAGTTCGAACGTGGCTTCGAGAGCTGCTGCAACATCATTCCTGTTTGTTTCCCTGGTTTCATGTACCAACCACACATGTTGTTCTGCGACGAAACAGGCCTTTTTCAGATTTCGTTTTCAATTTCCATTCTTTCTTGCAGAGCTGGTCCCCAGACGAATGCGTGTTTGAATGTATGGCTTGCGGTACATTTGATTATGGAGATCATGTACGTTCAACTGGACATGTGTTCAGCACAGCAAGTGGGTTGTTTCCAACGTTACTGGTTGGACATCTGAACTTAGCTGACACCGTGTTTCCATCACAAAGACGCTGGATCACAGATGCACAACAACAATTTGCTAAATGGTGCGAAAGATGGCGGCTAGGAAGACGGTTCACAACCATATGGAACTACATGTGTCACTATATTTGGCAACAACATGTCCAAGCAGTTTCCCGTGACGGTGTTTGTACATTCCAAGCCCTGTTTCGTGAATTGCGTAGTATAAGAAGGTTCGTCATTTGCCCAGCTGATCACCATCCTCATCGAGCTCATTTGTGTTGCCCACATCATTATCACCACCTCCTCATGAAAACGTTCATGACACCTGACGTGTTTGTCAGATGTTCTGTCGGTTGGAACACAGTTTTCCCACGAGTTATGGTCGATTTGGGAGATAGCCTTCCACCTCACTTGCGAAAATTGGCCTCACCTGGTGGAAAGTGCCCATGTGCGTATATTCTTCCCAAACCTAGCAAACATTTTGAAGCGGCGCGTCCGATCATTGCATATACAAACAGTTGGAACAACCGATTAGGCGAAGTCATTGGAGGGGTAGTATTACAGCTGATTCGGTCATTATTTCGTGAGACATCGCTGGACAAAGACGTTGTTCAAATCATGCGGGCAATTCATTATGTGTTTGATGATTTACCGAGCCATCTGCCTATAAACATGGACCAACAAGACTTATCAGGTTTTTTCAATTCGGTACCACATTCTCGAATGGTCGACAGTGTATGGTATGCGTTGCATGTGTATTGTCACAAGTACAATGTGTCTCTGGACAGCACTATTACTTTCCAACTTCAAGATCGTGAATCTGCCCAACGAATTTTTCGTGGTCGGTATCGACGAGCTGGCAATCGTACGACGCAAGTCAGTTTGATTCATCTACCTGCAATGGTTTCCTTTCTTCTACGTAATTCATATTTCATGGTTGGTCGGCATCTGTTTAAGCAAGTTCAAGGTGCTAGTATGGGTTCACACTTTGCCCCGGCGTTATGCGGACTCGTAGCAGCATGTCAAGAACACATTTTTCCAAAACATTCGAGGATATGATCGCGGCAAATCGACTGTTGTGCAATACCCGATATGTGGATAACCGGGCTATGATGGGCTTTGGATCATGGCGTTGTTCTCCTATTTGGTCCGTCTTCACACATGCAGAATTCTATGGAGCGCCTATTTTGCTTGAAGAAGTGTCTGACCCAATATTATTGGGGGTACACGTCGACACAGATCAAAGAACCACTACAGTTCGTTTCCATCATGATATGAGTCACTATCGCTCCAGCATTAGTCAAGGATCCGATCTTGCCTTGTCTTCAGCATTTGCAGCGCGCTTACTGATGGTCCTCAGATACACACACCCAAAATCGCTGGTCATTCCTCAAATTCAAGATCTTTGTTATTGCGTTGCGCTCCGGATTGACAATGCGCGCAGTGAAGCAACAACTTTGGAACTGGGCGGCCAAGATTCGAAACAACACTGACCACGCCGATAGGACGCGTTCCTGGATTATTGAACAGATTCTGATTCCAACCGTTCTTGATGAATGTGCGCAGTAAAAAATGCAGAACGCTGCGCTGACCATACATGTGATACCACAACCGGATATGACGGTCACATTTCTTTTGATCCGTTAAATCATCTACAGGTGATGGCGACTGGGCAAAGCCGAAAAACCCAGGATTTCACGTTTAAATAGACGAACAATTTAATAAATAGATGCTTTCGTGCGACATGTGGCGTCACAAGCGTGCTTGACACTGAGTGCGCTAGGATATAGGTCGAAATAAACGCACGAAACTTTGTTGCCCCTTCTCGCCGGACATTACGCGCGTCCTTCGGAGTCATGGCGTTACCCAGGTATAAGGGTTGGCAGGTTCATCCAACAAGGTTTCTGTTACTGCAGCAGCCAATTCTGGCGCCTACCACACCCAATCATGGTATAGAGTAGTTTTGGAGCAGTTTTCGTTCGATTGTAGCTAGCGCCATTCTACAAATTACATGCGCTCACACTTGTCATAGCAAGTTTTGCCCCGTCGTGGGGCGTGTGTGTGTAAACCCTTCTAGCACAGGGAATGGTTAACTACACATGCAGGGGGGCAAGGCCTTCAGTGACTACCTTGCCCAACGAAGCTGTGTCACTGAAGGGGAAGCAACTGAGGACGCTCAGTTGTGTACCTGCTTGGTTAAAACTGGTTAAAACTGTTGACTTCGGTTCTGTTCATGCGCTGTTTGTTTTCTATTCCGTTATCCATTTTCAGCAAGCGATTTTTTGCTGTTGCACTGCAATTTGAAATCTGGTTTCACGACCGCTTCGACCTTTTCGACCTCTTCAACCTTGCGTTCTTGGATACAGCCTTGACAAGGTCTACCAGGTAGGAATTGCCAAATCTTTTAAGTTAAAACCCTGCAGAACGAACTATCCGCACGATTCGACGCGACCAATTTGGAACCAGCTCCAATTCTTAAAACCAGTCCAGTGTGTGTTTGATATACCAACCTGTACACTAAATCCTCTGAGAAGCCCTGGCCAAAAAAAAAAAACTATGGGACCCGGCCAG